TGGCCTAGATAACACTGAAGTTTATCAGGTTGTCTGCACCTAACAGGTACGAATATGTTGAAGGTGCAGAGCCAGAGGTTTAATTAGTTTGTGGTGAGTGGTACTTTCAATTTATATTAACTCTGTACTGGTGGAGACTTCTCTATACCTGTATTGGCAGTACAAGTATAAATAAAATTAGATTAAGCTACTTAAGTTCTTTCCTACCTTCTTCCTTTGGCCTTTGTTCAGCTTCGATGCCTATAATACTTCACAATGCTAGGAAAATATCTGAGTTCACTCAGTATCCTGGTATTAGAGATTGTTGCATTATCTTAGGTTGGGTAGTCCTGTTTACCCCTCTGGTTGTTCAACTGAAATATCAGTATACTGGTACTTCAAGTTATTTAACATGTTCATCTACAGACCCCTTTGGGTAAAATGTCATCTGTTTTCTTTCTGTTGCCTACTGGCAGGTTTCTAGTTCGATTATAGAGGAATCTAGTTTTGTTGATGGAAATCAACCATGTCATTCTTTGGGCCGACTCATGTTTCTTACTAGATTGTAAAAATGTTTCAAGTCTCTAATGATGTAAATCACTCATGGGATCGATTGATGACAGTATCATATTTTCAATTCAATGTACTAATAGTATTGGTCCTTAGGTAGTAAGGGACGTACCTGCTCTGCCACTTCTGGTTACTTCATGTTTCTATAGTTAGAATCTTAAGTTATCATTTATCATCATTCCTACGTTCATAGCACATACAGTATTAATTTTGGTTCAATCACATGTCTCCTCCTCATTTCAGTGGTGATAGCTTTAACCCTGTACTTTCTTATCCCTCAGCATGAGTTTTCAAATATGCCTGACATATGATAGAGTAATTGGATGCTAGGCTATGCTTGGTCAAATGTATTGTTGGATGTGATTATAGATGGTTGTTTGTAGTCATACCCCTTTCAAGTGTGTCATACCTTCTGTTTGTCATGTTTCCTATCCATACACCTTTCATTCTCCAGAGTACCAGTTAGGACTCCTCTTAACCTGGCGTTTTATCATCGCTTTGTCAGTTGGTAGTGGTGGCCACCCTTGGGTGACTGCTCTTGATATGCCTCTTATCTTTAGCTGTTGAGCTCTCCCTTATCTTTAGGTATCAAGTGTTAGAATTGTAGTAGTATGGCTCAGTTATGGCTACCTACTATGCCTAGCTATACACTGTCCTGTGGCTTATAGATGGCTTGCTATCTGTAGATCTGAGGCAGCTTGGGTGAAGTGGTGGCGTCTGGCCTGGTGGCCTGTCTGGAATTGGACTGATGGGATGAGATATCCAAGAGGACCAATTGGGAGTTCGTCAGGTTGAGCGACCTTTATTTAGTTGTTTCCAGTTACTAGGGCTGCCCAGGTACTGTAAAAGAACAGCACTAATGGCCACATCTTTGAATAGTAGGTTGAAACTGTTACCTTGTATTTGGACAGGCTTTTGGATTAATTGTTATAGCATTTGTTTGGTTTCTTTGACTGGGTTATGAGTATGGTGGGTGGAGGAAGATACCACATGTAGGAGGTAGGCCCCACTGGCCTTTACAGTCTGCTGCTACTCCTAGGTTTCCTTTGTCTGGTAGTAACAGGTAGATATTAGACTGATTGTTTTGAGCTGTTGGGGAGATCATTGAGTGGCCTTGATTGTGAGGGTTTCTCCTAAGAAGGATGGATGCAGGCCAGTATTTTGACAAAGTAGTAGTGTTTATTTTATGTTTTTGTATGAGAAACCTAGAAAACTAGTACTCTACTCAGAATCAGTTACCCAGAGAGGTCTTGTGGCTTCTGTAGCTCAGCTTGGTTGGGTCCATCCTAGAGAGTCTAAGGTGTTACTTTGGAGTGGGCATTCTTTACGGTTAATGGCTTTGTATTTAGTGTTTTTATTATAGCATGGTATGAATATGTTTGAGGTGTAGGGTCAGAGGTTTAATTAGTTCATACTTAGTTGTAGTCCTTCTTATTATTAACCCTCTGCTAATATTCAATAATATTATCATATTTTTTTAGAGAAAATATCTTATTATCTATGGTATATGTCAAAGATGTCCTATTTTGAAGCCTAGTAACTCTCTAGATAGTGGACAGATATACTCTGTTCTACTTCTCAGACCTAGCCAAAGGTCCCCTCTCATATATCCTGCATACAGGATCCAGTTGGACAGATGGTAGCAACATATATAGTATTATTCTAACACCTTCAATTATGTAGTATTAAACTCACAGGACACAACTAAGATAGATATGTATGACAACATGCGGGCCCCGTATGAGGGCCAAAGGAGGATGATAGAGACCACACCTTTCAATTCTAAGCAGGGTTATCCTACTTAGGATGGTTTCTAGATATCAGATCCCGGTACTTCTAACAGTGATCCCACTCTCAATGCCAGGCCTAATTACATAATCAGAAAGTTACAATGACTCTGCTGAACTCTTGGCTGGATCCTTGTACTAGTATCTTGTATACCACACTTTTGCTTCTATAACAGCCTCTACTCTGTCCAGCATTAATCATGCATTGCCTCAAAATATCCCTCTGATATCTCCTCTGACATCTTTGGCAGAATTTCTGTTAGATTTTTTCTGGATATCGTCATAGGATTACTACATCTGGATATATCACATATGTAGTGCACTTCATGTAGACCCAAATATACTCAATTGAGTTAAAATCTGGAGAGTATGGAGGGTTATTGTATAGGCTAATACGATGGTCTTAAAAAAATGACATGGATAGCTTTACTGTATGGACTCAGGTACCATCCTGCATGAAGACAGGGTCTAAGTCTATACTCAATAGGTATTGCTAGGATAGAAGCAGCCATTTTGATAGCATTTTTATACAATATTCAACATTTTTCTCTTTTTGTCATTAAGGTAATAAAGCTTCCCCCACTCCAACTCACAGAACCAAGCACATACTATTCTGGAGGTACTTTTGTGTTTAGTTTTAGAATCACAACACTCTGGTAGATATTTCTCCAATGGACAATGAAATACCCACTGCTGTCTAGCTGTCTCAGCTTTTTCTACTATGTACTCCTTGCTCTAAACAACACAATACTGGTCTGCCAGAGTTCAATGCTGGTACTCTGTTGTCTATTTGAGTCTCTTGACTGTATGCTTCTCAATAAGCTTGACATTGTGCTTAGCTAGCTATTTGCAAAGGCTCTGACTTTGCAGGTAGCGATCAAAGGTTGTCATGCTGACATGGGGACACATATTCCAGTGAACCTAACCAATTAGCATATTAATAATTTCACTCTTAAAAGTTGTTAGTGGACGCGGATAGGTTGCTGTCCATTAGATTGATGGTAGCGA